GACAGCCCTGAAGTGCAACTCTAATGATAAGAAGCAACACCAAGAGCTGCTAGTAGGGAATTTCCATCCAGCAAAGCTGGTCATAGATATAGGAAGGATTTATACTGCACACTAATACAAAGAGACAGAAAATATAGGAGAACTAATACAACCCAACCACATAATCTCCAGAGGCATTCACTTGGAAGAAAAATACTTTGTCAGGGTTTCCTGAAAACAGTTAAGTCCCTCTCCCCCTCCTACCTCTACATTACTGGTAGACACAAGCCAGCTTAGCAGACTCCCTTCACATGATTCTTCTCTGACATTGAAATATCTAGTTCACTAGAGTATTCTGATGAGGGGAAAAAATTAACCCTCTATTTTGTGCAGTGAACAAGGAAAACATTGTAGCATGTGTGACTGAAGACCTGGCAGAATAAAATGCAATGTTATGGTAGAATATTACTTAAGTGACAATAAACTTCGAAGTAAAATTATCGTTCTGCATATCAGTCAGACATACAAAGGGCTGAAGTATAAGAACAATGGCTGTAGTAACAGTAAGGATAAATTGAGCAGGTAAAACAAAGTGTCAAAACCAGAAAAGTGTCCCAAACTTGCGGGATTCTCCTCATGGTACATGATTCGATGGCTACTTCCTGAAGAATTATTTTCTTATTTTGAAAGCACTGAGAGACACAACTATCAGAAGGTTGGCTTTTTATTAACCAGCCTAAAGAAAATGGAGTTGTAATAAACTGAAAGTGAGAGCTAACAACCCCATTAGTGAATTTGTTGTTTGCCACTGTCTGGACATGACACAAATCTCAGACAAAAAACTTGTATAAAGCACAATGAGAGTTCGCCTTGCAAGGGCTCCTGGATTGAGGCTTGAGGACATTTCTTCATCATGAAGTAAGTTTAATTTAGATGAGTGGTCAAAGAAAGATAAGTTCACTGAGGTGAGGTGAATGAATAATGGATGCAAGCAGATAGAGGTGTGAGATGGGACAAAAGTATAAAGAAAACTGTGGGGGGACCCAAGCAGAATTATGTTGAAACACATAGCAGAAATAACTAATGTCTGAGAACATTGCTGAAAAAAATTGAATACAAAAAGGGAAGATGAAATTTAGGGATACATACAGTAAGGTTACAAAACCATGTAATTTTCCTATGGTAAATTTACCACTGAACATCCTGGTCTAACAATAGTACTGTGGTTCATGGTAAATTTACCACAGGAAGACTACATTTTTTGTGACCTCAGCTCAAAGCTATCAATCTAAGAATAAGGGCAGTGTAAGCATTTTAGGAGAATTTTGTGTGCAACTTAAATAAGCCAAGATGAATGTAAAGATAAGAAGGCATTCCTAAGAAGAGAGAGCTGGAAAGCCACAGAGCAGTTGGCCAGAGATATCTTTCAGCAGAAGGTTCAAAATATTAGGAAATATCCTTTGATTATTTAGAAAATGTAATTAACAATTTGATTGAAATGTTAGGACAGAAATTTCATAGCCATCTTCAAAGCAGTTATTGCTTCCTCAGATAAGAAGCTACTGAATATAGTGTGTTTGAATGTCAATTAATCCGTTTAATGCCATGTAGTAAAACAGAGAAATACTGGAAAAGTGCCAATAAAATAAAGTTCATTACATGGCACAGAAAGCTTGTTAAGCAGGTGGTGAATAGAGCAATCATAAAAAGTCCAGTTCTTTGTCCCTTTCTGGTTTGAGCAGTACATGCAATTTTAATCACACTGAATGATGTCAACAGAACAATTTGTATAAGCACAACCTGCTATAATGGACCCAGAATTCAGTCCAAAGATAGGATGTCCCAGTGGGGAAGAATAAGGAGTAATGAAATCAGAATCAACCCAGGGACTTATATCACACATCATATATTCTCTATCAGCCACATTCAGGACAGTTCAAATAATCTTTGGAGGTGGACATCTCACAGACAGTCCAACCAGTGATTTATCATAAGAATGTTTTTATTTATTCCATAATGAGGTGACAAAATACAGAACACATCTATAACCCACAGCTAGAACCAAATTAGAGAGAGGGACACCAAGCACTTCATGGGTCAAGATGAAATTCAGAACTATTTTGATAAATTGTAGGAATGAACTGAGATTAATAAAATAGCACTGTATACAGAACTGTGAAAAATTAAAGCAGTTTGCACAAAATGAAGAGTAGTACACTAGTAGACTAGTGGATTACAATGCGAGTAGGAGTTTAAATTATGGTGTTGATACAAAACAAACATCATTCTGGGACATATTAACAGAAGTGTGATACATGTGGGCTACAGGAAGTAGTAATGTTGTTTTCAATGTCAGGAGAGAAGCCTCAGCTGGATAATTATGTTGTCTGGGGTGCCACCGTTGAAGGAAGCTGTAGACACACTGGAAAGAGGCCAAAAGCAAGCACTAAGTATGGTAAGTGGGTTGAAAAACTTGACCCACGAAGAAAGGTTGAAATGGTTTGTTTAGTCTAGAAAATGGAAGATGGGTGGGAGACAGGACAGTCTGCAAATGTATAAAATGCCACTAAGAACAGTGGGAAATTTCTTATGCAAATGCTAAGAATTGTGCAAGAACATTGAGGGACTGAAACTGTAGGTGCATGATGTGAAAATGGGACTTAGCAAGACAGTATAAAGTTAGAGGAATAGTAGCATCTCTAGAACACGAATACAGAAATAGTAAGATACAGTACATTAATAATTTTTTGTATCAAAACTGACTTGGAGAAGGATGGTAATAGATAGTTGTTCATTGTGGTAGTACTAGAAGTATATAATAGACTTCCAGATTCAGTGAGACCTGAATGTGACTAAATTTCTCTGATGCTAGTGACCAAAAAATATAACAGAGAATTACGCCAGTATGGAGGACATTGATGTTTGGCATAGGGTCTGGAGAATAAAACCAACCATTATTCACAGGACCTCAGTATTGCTGAATATGAAGATAACACTCTTTTTTCCATTAGCTATTCAGACAACTATAAATTAATAACAATTTTAACATGGTTAATGAGGACATTATAAAATGCCTGGTCATAGAAAATAAGCTTGGATGGCATGATCATGAGTAGACTCTAAATTAAACAGGTGAGTAAACAAAGTACATACAAAACAAAATTCCTGATTTCAGAGGGACACATTTGGTAAATTAAGGGAATTCTCAGCTGGACTGAGAAGCTCTGGGACCAGCAGGTTCCAGGGACCTGCAATGTGTCCTGTCAATGGTACAAAATGTAGCAGGGATCTGTATCCCAAGAGCAGAGAAAAAAAGTGTGTAGAAGAGGCTTGAGATATAACGGATGACCATCCATCTTTAAAAGATATATTTAGAATAAGTAGACATCTTACAAAATAATAGGCAAAAGTAAGGAGAAGCAAAAGAAGTTGTATCTCAAATTTAAGAAGTGAAGAGTAGTAATTAAATGTTGAATAGAGGCTGTAAGGAAATTACTTTCAAGGATAAGGATTGAAATCAATCTTGCTTAGTATTTTCATAACTTGGCACAAAACACAGGGGCTGTCTGATGAAATCTGGCAATAACAAAAACTGGAAGATATTAACAGAAAAGAATGGGAGTATCATACAGGGGAAGCTGGATCACCTTCAAGTCTAGAGTAATACAAACGGGACAAAATTGAATAGGATAAAACATTTAAGTCATGCACTTGGGTGCTAACAACAGAAGGTCCTCCCAGAAACTGGAAACTCTATGTTTGGAAACAGCTATAGAAGATAAGTACTGAGGCGAAAAGGGTTATTCCAAAATAACTAGGAGCTTCTAATGAGACACAGCTGTGAATAAGGCAAATGCTGTTCTGTGACATACCAAAAGCGGTATTTCTAACACAAATAGGGAAGAGCTAGTGTCACTGTACAAAGACCTGGCAAAAATGTCTGTGTATGACTAGGTACAATTTTAATAACCCCTCTCCAAGGATACACAACTAAAACACAAAAGGAGAAGGGTTAGTATGTTGATGAGAGAAATAGAAAGCCTATTTTACAAGGAAAACTTAAAAGACCTTGATTGATTAGAGCAGCAAGAGAACAGCTCAGAAGGGATATGATGATTGCCTATAAATGCATCTGAAGAACAAATACTAGTTAGAAGAAAGAAGTATTTAATCTAAATAATAATGCTGGCATGGAAACAAAGGGACATAAATCAGCCATAAGTATGAATAGAAATTAGAGATACTAATTATTAAAGCAAACAAGTTCTTGAACTGCCTTCCTTTGGGAGTAATGGGGACAAAAAACCTAATTGCTTTTAATGGACAGAGTAAGTTTATGAAAGGGATGATGTAACATAGCTGCAAGTGATTGCAAGGATTGAATTTGATGATCTAGAAAGACCTTCCCAGCCTTGTGTTTCTATGTTGTTATTAAGAAATCATGAATTCTTTTTCTCTATTTCCACCAAGTTTGGATATAAAATGTTCAGTTTTGTTTGCAGGTTAGAGAACAATGTCAACCTTCTATTAAGATCCTGAACCACTAGAGAAAACTAGCTAAGAAAGTCGTCCAGAACCAATTGAGCAAATATTTGACATGGCTTTTCCAGGTGTACTTGGACAGGCTTACAGAAGTGGGTTGGTCTTTTGAGGTCCTTTCCAACCCTAAATTTCTATGAGAAAATATAGGCTCATATCTTTCTGGACTCTGGCTTAGCAAAACAACAAAAACCCCAAGTTATTTCTGAGAAGACTGTTGAGTAATTTACACTCTGTAACTTTTGGAGATATTTGTAATGGTACATTATTTATTATTTTTCCAGTGTTCAAAGTGTTCTAGGAAATTCATAAAGCAAACCCAGTTCCCAGCAGGAGATTGGAAGCTTTTGGCTTTCATACCTGGGAGTCTGGTACACACAAAACAAAATACCATTATTGTATTTAGCCTTCTCTAGCAGAGAAAAAGCAGTTTGGTGTGAGCTCCATTGTAAAATGTTTTTCTTCTCTGAACTTCCTCCCAGAGTGGCAACAGGATTCTGTGTTCCATCATTCTGGACCACTACCAGGGACCATCAATAATAAACTATGATGACGAGAATGGCAAAACATGTATGCACATTGCTGCTGCTGCAGGCTACAGTGATATTATCAGTGAGCTGGCTAAAGTCCCAGAGTGCAACCTGCAGGCCCTTGATGTGGATGACAGGTAACCATGGAAACTCTGAAACTGAAATTGCTGCTTCCTTTCTATTAACCTGAGACTAGCTCTGTTTACTCTATAATCAAGTTTCCTGTTTCACAGGCCATGGCCTAGTTAATGAACTGCACTTACAGAGAACCATGCTTGCTCAGAAACACTGCAAAGCAGTCCAGCTCACGTGTATCATATCTAGTATAAAAACTGACTAGTAGGAATGTTATTTAACTTTTGTGTTTCTGGTAGGAAATGATAAGATTATGTGTGAAAGGACTTTGTCACCACCTGACTTAACTTCTTTCAATCAAAATTGAACATTCTTTTCAAAACAATAGAACAAGATCCTACAACCTGAAGCTGGGATCCTGCTGCTATTTGTATGTAAGAAATGGCAATGTTCCCTTGTTGCATTTAAGATGCTAACACAGTATTCCTATAAGACCAGGGGACCTTCATCTTCCATTCTGACAAGGCATTTCATTCCTTCCAGGATGAAATCCCTATATCTTAAGTGCAGAAGAGTCATCTTCTTTCCTCTTTTTCACCCCACACCTACCTCCCTTGGAACTTTGCTCATAAATTTAATTCAAACGGAACCAACCAGCTGCTCGCATTGATTATCCAGCTCAGTTGAGCAAAAGCCAAGATTTTCTTGGCGTGGGCCTTCACATACTTAAAATAATAGCATTCTTCATGGAAAAGTGCAATAAAATGGAACAGAAATAAAACCAACAGGGTTCTGGAGAAGTTTCTAAACAGCAGTAAAATGTAGTTGAGAAAGCTGCGTTTCTATGGAAAGAAGAGCGAAGGGAGGAGTTTAACTACACTTAAGAGCTCACTAAGACACAACCTCCTATTACACATTCTCAGATATTTCCATAGAAGGTATTATACTTGTAGGGGGGGGAAAGATAAGCTGTTCACTAGAAACATACAGTAGATTTCCATTCTATTGTGTTTCTGACTGCACCTGTTCAAAACCATTGGGATTGCAAAGAAACAGGCAGAGAAAAGTCAATTTTGTTCTTTATTCTTGCACAGTTTTCTTACGGTGTTTTCTGCGCTTTCAGATTTTTCACAAGAACAAAATCTTACCATTTGGAAACTGGACAAAAGTTTCCAAAGACAAGATGCAAATCTTGTGCCAAGCAGAAAATCTGATTCTCCTACACAGATTCAAGACAATTATATCTGCTCCAGTCTGTGCCCATCAAAGAATGGAGAAACTGGCAAAGGGGCGATGACAGTCTGGTAGATGCATCCAGTCCTTCTCATTCATCTGAGGGAGGCTTCTTCTCCTACTACCTTCATGGAGAGCCCTGAGCCAACCATTGCTAATTGTGTTTGGTGTAAAGATGAGAAGAGCTTGTCCCTATGCAGTGGACACTAGAAATATTTTTTTCAAATTCTGCTCTGAAAACTTCAGGCACTCCTCCCCGTCTGCAACTCCAGCAGCAGAAGAGATGCTATTATATAGCATGTGTAGGCATTCTGCAGCCCTGTATCTACTTTCTCTACAGCTAAATAGATGCACATAGATGCCAGTCTATGGCCTTATTACTGCCACTGGCAGCTACATCAATGTGGGATAAGTTGCTGGAGAATTCCTTAAAACTGATGTCATGAATCTGGACGAGTAGCATAGGAGCACACCTCATTATGTCATTAATAGTTTTGATAGTAAATTTATTCATCTATTTTAATGATACTCCCCCCTTTCTGTAGGACGCCTTTGCACTGGGCTGCAGCAGCAGGGAAAGCTGACTGTGTGCAGACGCTGCTAGAACTGGGGATAGACAGCAGCCCTCGAGACATCAATGAAAACACTCCTCTGACATATGCAATGTACTGTGGGCATACAGCATGCATCAAGCTGCTGTCTCAGGAGAGCAGGTAAAGCAGAAGTTCACTTCTTGCTCACATGTTGCCACTGACTAGAAAAAACATGTATTGCTTTTTGTATGCTACTGAAGGCTTTGAGCCCTGGGTGATGTCTCCTCAATTCATATGCAATACTCAGTTCAAGTTTTCCACCAAAATAGCAGTGTTAGAATTAGTCATCTACTGGAGACTCATCACTGCGGTTACAGTGCTAGTCTGTCAATCAGCAGAGGGTTCTGAACCAAGATGATGTAAGTATAGCTCTTGCTCAGTCACCTTCATGCAGAAAGTTTATTTTATGGAGTAATTTCAGCCCACAGATATATGCCTTCCACTTTTTTGAAATCTCTATGTGCTAGCTGTGTGTTCATGTAATCCGACAGAGGGGTACACTGAACACAAAGGCGTCTTTGCCAGACAGATAATAAAATAAATTTCAAGTTTCAATCCTCAGGGTAAGGGTTTGGGAGTGTTTTCCTAGCCTTCGTTTGTTCTCTGCCTGGATTGTCTCTTCTTATTCTGAGGTTTTTTATGTTAAAAAGTATAATCCTTTTACCATTGCTTATGATCTTCCTCTCTGTATTTCTCATGTTTCAGCAGCTGTCATTTAATTTCAGTTCTTCAACTGTGGTAAATGAGCATGCACTTACAAAGACATTTATCATCACATTTCTTTGTGCTTTCCTCTCCTTTCCAGTCAGCAGTTAGTATTATTTCCTGTGTTACAAATTGTGAGACATGGGTAACATTACCTCTCCTCCTCCTCCTCTTCCTCCTCCTGTGCTCTGCCTGTCGGAGTAGGTCTGAAATGTTGATTAGCCAAAATCTCATCTAAAAACCACTACAGCAACACCACTGTAGGTAATTATCTTGATAGATCTTCTGAAAGCGTGCTGGGCCTCTTTAGTACAGGCAAGGCAAGGCAAGGGAAAGCAAGGGAAGGGGAAGGGGGAAGGGGAAAGGGAAAGGAAAAGTGAAAGGCAAAGGGAGGGTAGGAATGGTGAACTAGTGCCTTCGTTACAATGTCAGCAATGACTGTGCTGTTGGAAATACCATTTTCCAAATATGACGTAATACAAAGACCACTTGGTTTGAAAGATCCCAGGATGATGATGTTGTTGTTGTTATTGGATCTTGCCTCACCATTAAGAATAATGATTTTGCAGCTGGTAGATGCTGAAGGCAGAACAGTTTGAGGTTTTTCCTGATAGCTGCACTGAGCCTACATTAAGATGAGTATAAGGAAATGAACTCCATAACAAAGAGTGAAGTAACACAGTATCATTTTCAGTCTTTGTTAATTACAAATTTGGAGTCCTAATTTTCTGCCTCCTTGAACCACCCCTGCAAATGTATCTGAACAGTATATACCCCATTTTCTGTGCAGTACTTCACATTCATATTTCACAGGCAGTATTTTTTTCATAATTTGGCAATAATGACATCACATTTTGATTTGTACTTCCAGTAGATCTGAGCCAATTCATCAGTTTTCCTCCCAGAACAACAGATTCCTAAAGAAAGAAGGACGATTCAGTATGCTGAACCACATCTTCTCCTGCAAAAAGAAGAAAGATGATCAGAAAACTAGTCAGAAGGAGAGAAGCAGAGACCAATATCCTACAGAAGAGACCTCAGAAGTAGATGACATCATCACCACTTTTGACTGCATTATGGACACAAATTGCAGAGACAATCCAGATGAGTGTGTGACCACCACTGACTTTAAAAGAAGGAGCACAGACACAAAGTACCTTATACCAGAAAAGAAGCAACCAGAGTGTAAGGGACTTCTGCCCGTCAGAACCCAGAGCCTCCCCCCAATCACTGCAGGCAATTCCTTCCTAACTGCTTCCCAGAGCACAACTTCAAGCTTCTCCTCCAGCACCAGCACCCACCATTTTGCACACAAGTCTCAAAAGAGTAGGAGTGAACACAACTTGCTGGACCACAGAAGCAGCTGCCAGGCTTTGTTGGATGATCCCTGGAACACAGACTCTAACCAACTACTCTCCTACAAATTCTGTAATCGGACTCCTTCAGACAAACTGATAAATGGCTTAAACTCTGACAGATCTCACCATGTGCTTTTGTGCCCTCCCCGCCTTCCCTCACTTCCCAGTTCTCCATCAGGTAATTTATTTCTTCTCTATCTCCCAAATCCTATAATCTCTACTGATCTGGCAAGCTGAGGCTGAAAAAATAGGTAAGTCTGACCCATGACAGTTCTATTTCTTTAATATCTTTTTCAGCTTCTTCTCTTGGTATATAGTAGCAATCGCAGATAGCATATGGATAGGACATCAGCTGACAGTGGAAGCAAGGTGCTTAGGTGTGGGAAATAAGAGATTTAAGTAGGTCTGATAAGCAAGCAAAAATGCAGGTAGTCAGGAAGCATGTAAGGTGCCTGAGCAAGGTAAGTGCCTCCAGATTATATATGTGCTTTGTGAATTGCACATTAACACCCACTGCCACGCCTGCTGCCTTGTCTCCACATTTTGTCCTAGAACTAGATGTGCAAGGGAACAGTACTGCACTCAAATCTCTAAATGTGCTGAGAGCTGCTTCTGGATCCAACCAGGCAAGTCCACATGTGCCATGCTGGACAGCTTCTGCACTATGCCACTTTCCCCTTACAGACAAATTCCAAATCTAGGCTGTAGTGCCAGCCCTTCCGACCCCTCCCACCCTGAATGCCGGCTCTTTGGTCTAGATGTGCTGTTCTTACGGTTTCTCCAAAGCTGAATTCAGGTTGCTAAATTTATAGAGACAGAGTAAATGCCTTTATGTTGTGGTTTGGAAACTCTAATGCAACAGTAATGAAGCAGAGCATCAGAATTCTGAAGTAAACTCAAAATGAGGGTTTGGCAGGATTTGGGATCGAGTACTTCGTTTGACTCACATCCATGTTTAAATGAATCTGGCTGGCTGGCCTGCATACTGGAGTTTACTTCAACATATCAGTGTCTCCAACTTCATCTCCTTTGGGATTAGCTCCATGCCAAAATAAAACACATCTAGCATGCCTTCCAACCACTGTAATATCCAACTGAAAATGAAGCAAGCAAAAGCAATCCCCAAACTTACCAGTACAGCTTTACGAGGAGTAAACATTACACAACAAGTTAATCTACCTCCACCCCAACAGACATGAGCCGTTATCCTCCAGTGGAAAGAGGAGTGAACAGAAACCCTGTCTGAGAAGAACATTCAGTTAGGTCAGGTAACTATCTAAGCCTGCATAATAGTGCAAACTGTACTGACTCCTAAGCGAAGGGATCTATAAAATAGCAAATCTTTGTTCATATCTCTAATAATGAGAGTAGAGACGGCAAATTCAGAATGACAGGTCATTCTAAGTTGTGCAAATAAAGGCTGGAAATAGTTTTTCAGGCAAAATGGAGCTATTCAAAAAGTTCCACTTCCTGAACATCAGGCCACATACCTGAAAGCCTGATAGACCTGGTCTATAGGCGTCACTGCTTTTTTACTGTGCACCCTTCAGCTATTCACTCAACCATACAACCCCCAGACTCCACAAGGCTAGCAAGGATTGCTCCAGCATGACTCTTTCCATACTGAAGTCTGCAAGGTTCAGCTCACATGTGGAAGATGAGAAAACCTGCAGGGCTTCCTTACAACCTAAATATAATAGGAAACAGTGAGGCTGAGATATCTGAGTTCATTCATGTTGACAGTAGTAGGAGGAATGAACCCAAACGGCATAAACGAAGCCTGAGGACACCTATGGGGAAATATTTCTTGGTGGAATTAGCTAGACTATGAATACATTTGATGTGGAAGTAACTACCATGTTATTTAAAATGTGATTATAGATTTTTCTTAAGACTGTAGAATACTGTATGGTTAAATCCTTGTTTGCTCTGCACAGAAGGACAGGTGGTTTTCTATGAACATCCTACGACAAAAAGCTGCAACCAGCTGAATCAGGACAGACCCTGTGCATCCACTCAGGGCTCCATGATCTCCACAGGGACTCAGTATAGCACCAGCAGTCTGCATGCATGAATGAGGACAAAATCATATCAATTATGGGAAATCTTCTAATTGTTACAATGGGAGCTGTCTTTGCATGTCCAAAAGAAGAGTAAGTCATTTTATCTCTGACAGTTTATTACCTCCCTCAGAGAAAAAATAGCCTGAGTCTGCTTCAAGCCCAGTTCTCTGTGTACCAGCTCCCTTTAACAAAACTTTCCCTTTCCAACAATAAAAAGATTCCTGTAGCTGGCAAAAAGGACTTCCACTGAAGCATGTGAATTAAAAGCTTGTAAGGAGGCAGAGAGTGTCTGACAGGAATACGTTGCACAACCCAGATACTGTCTAACGCTTCTTCATGATAAAAAGATCTGCTTATCCCTCTTCATGCCTATGTGTGTGGTTTAAATCTGTCTGCCCCTGTAATTAAAGCCACCTGACTTGCCGTGAATTAGAACTGCATTTACTGTATGAGCTCCAGGTCTTCCAGGTCTCCAGTGCACTGTGCCTGCAGGACTTACAGGGATCAGAAGTGAAGTAAGCCTGGCTCCAGCCCAGCCGGCAGCACTGTGCAGGCAGCTTTCTCTGAGGAAAGATATTTCCTCGTTGGTTTTTTTCTGCACAAGGCCTAGCTGTGGGAAAAAACAGCATCTGGTCTTTGAAGGACACTGAAGTGTTAATACTCCATTTCTCAAGTCATGACTGCGGGGGCTACATGTAATTTCCTAATCACTGAATATCCAGGGCAGGATTATGGGTATCAATAACCTAGGGGAACTCAATTTGAAAATTATTTTCTCAGCTGACACACAGCGTTGATTGTCTTGCATGAGCATGCCTTTTGTTAAAGTCAGAGCTAATTTTTGCATTCACTGCGGCTAAGGCAGCTGGCACATAGATGGGGATTTTTGGAGGGTTTTTTGTTCTGTTTTCTGTGCTCCTGGAAATGAAAGATGAGTCAATTTACTAACTGAGCCTTAGAAGTTATACAAAGGGGAGAGTTTGCTGTGGGTAGCAATGAGACTTACCTTACTATCATGCCACTGGTTTCTCTCAGAGTAACTACTTTGTCTTGCCCTCCGCTGGGGAGAACAAAGATAGACTATACCAAAATCTACTGTCAATATTGCAAGAGTACTTGCCACAGTGCTGAGCTGGCATCGACAATCTGAAGCATTTTGCATTTATGAGCTTTGCAATCATCTCTTTTTGCAAAATGTACTGCCATCTACTTTCCACAGGGAAAATGGTGTAAGTAGAGAAATTCCAAGTGATATGAGTAAAAGGAAGCCTGTCTCAAATGTAAGGCAGCCCTTAGCACTCCCTAACCAGCTGGAGCCTCCTTCTATCACCCACTCATCTCTTAGATTACTAACCTTCCAGGTCTGAGGCGATAGTTTATTACATATTGTATTACAGCAGCCCAGTACTTCTATTTGCTTGAACAGGTAATGTAAAAAATAGGCTGTTATTAAGCTTATGTTGGCGTAAGCAGTATGGTATAGTCCAACAGGAATCACTTCTTGGCCAGGAAAGAGTAGAGCAAAGCTGATCAGTGCGGCTGTTTCTTTCTCAAACTGAAAGACTGATTTACAGTGAGACATTCATCATAACATTTACAACTTTTCCACAAAACACACCACAATGTGGTTCACCTACCTAAATGCAAAGGAAAATCAAAGAACAACCTGTAAAAAAATGTCAGTAAACAAAATGAAATGCAGAACAGTCCTGCATTTTATAATAATGAAATTGCCTCATTTCCATTCAAAAATAAATGCCATCATAAATACGCTTTTGGGGGTGACAAAGATGATGTCTTAAAGAAAGAAAAATATTTTTCCTCTGCTGTAATGTGGAATAGATGGAAAGGAAGAGCAGAAGAATACTTCCACTTGATGCCAGAACTTTTAGACATGGATTCTTTTCCAAGCATTCACATCAGCCTTGCAAACATGATTATGCTTTGTACTGTTGTTTTGCTGCCAGATATCCCCATTTATGAAATAAACATATCTCTTGATAGAAAAAACAACCTCCCATCATCAAAGCTGTAATGGTATATATATAATAAGTCATTAGTTCTCAGCAAAAGCATCACTGAAACCAATATAACTCCAATTGCACTGATGGGAGCAGCAGGCTTGATGCTCTGCTATTTTGGAATTGATATATTTATTTGTTTGTGCACACTGGATGCGATGTCTACAGAAGAAATTTACCGACTTTTATACCCACTTTTTGATCACCCTGGAGAAGTGTTAAAGACTAAAGAGTAAAACATGGGAAAAGGAAACCAAAGTCTGTTCTTATTAGATACAGCTCATCCATAAGACACTCTTCATGCTTTAGCCTAATATGCATCAGCTTTGCCCATGGGATCCAGTAGATTGATCCAATGTCTATCAACTGCCATGGTCTTTGGACCAGAATCTTGCTGAAGATTGGAGCTGAATGGAGCTGAAGCCTGCACTATAACATGGGGGTTTGTCTGATAAACACCACTTTAGCTCCTTTCACACAGAAGCCATTTAGTCAGTAACATAGTACAGCAGTCTTGACAACTACTTCAGTCCACCTCTACAAAACTGTTCTACAACTATTTTCCTATAGCTTTATCTTGCATGGCCCAGTAATACATAGGTATTTTCAAGTACCAACTAAAAAAGCCACAAAGGCAGTTTATATCATTTCATTGCTTCCTATTGCTTATTGTCCTACTACATCCAGCCCATGTCTCCCCTTGTCTCTGTGTGTCGACAGAGCATATGCTTGCTCTGCAGTGAGCTATGTTGCAGTCCCATGCTGGATGAGCAGCTGTTTGGCAAGACAACTCAAGACTCCTTACAAGGCTCATCTCAGATCTGATGATAGCAAAAAAGAAAAATTTGAGGGAGTCAAACATCACAGAATAAGATCAACTCAGGAAAAGGATCTCAGGAAAATGTTGATTTGGTGCTTTAGTTTATACTTTTTTAATAATATTTGATGGGTCTTTTATGTAGTGAAATGCATTACATCTTCTAATATATTGTCTTTTTTAATAGTACTGTACCAAAGTCAACTTTAATCTTAGCCAGTGAAATGAATGCCACAGTTAGCCAATTAACCTTTCATTTTCCAGTTATCTATTCTTCTTGGTAAAAATGAAATTGCTACAAACATAGTTTAATAAGAATCAGTATCAGTTTATATCAGTTCTGCTATGTTTTCATCTGCAGCAAAACCCTCTCAAAACTCATCTTTACTGCTGATAGACTTCCACCAGTCTCATTGTCAAACCAGCAGTTGAACTCCATTTGTGTTCTAGTACTTAGAAAGGCTGCTACCCTATTAGAAAAGTGTGCAAACTAAAGCTTTGATTCTGAAATCAAATCCATCTAGTTGAATATTTCTACAAATGTAGTGTCCAAATATTCTTACATAGACCTAGCTCCTGGACCGTGCCTGTCTTAAGACCAATTATGATATTATATGAGAGGAAGTGATAACGGTACATGTGAAGGTTATATTAAATCAGTCACTCTAATGAATGTAAAGAGAATAAAGCAACAGCTTTTTTCAGTTGTTGGTTTCTTGTTATTACATATTTCTGACAATTACTAAGTAAGTTTTCTTTTCTTCTAGAAGCCAGAGATCTACAGTGCACTGTATTATTTACAATTATTTTCATATGGTAACAGATTATCTTTTTCTTTCACAGGTAAAAATTTTCAACAGATGTCTGTAGACCAACCCAAGATAAAAAATCTTACTCCTGTACAGAACAGCCTAGCTCCCATACCCAACCACTATGCTCACAAAAGTAAGTACAGGCAAGTCTCAGTTACAGTATCATACTGTGTGCCTCCATCACTGGCATCTGAGAGCTTGAGAGAATTTTCATATTCCTTTTTCACAGCATCATAGAATGCCTGAGGTTGGAAGGCATCTTTGGAGATTGTCTAGTCCAACCACCCTGTCCATGGAGACATCACCTGTAGCAGTTTGCTCAGGATCACATCCAGTTAGGTTTTAAATACCTCTAAGAATGTGGACTACACAACTTCTCTGGGCAGCCTGTTCCACTGTTCGACCACCCTCAGAGTAAAAAAGTTTCTTCTTACTTATTTGTGGCCATTGACTCTTTTCCCTTCATAGGACACCACTGAGAACAGTCTGGCTCCCTCTTCATTACTCCCCACAGTCAGGCATTTATACACACTGACAAGATCCCCTGAGCTGCCTTCTCTTCTCAAGGCTGAACAGTCCCAGCTCTTTCAGCCTCCCCTTTGAGGCTGGACACTCCAATCCCTTAATCATCTCCATTGCCCTTCGTTGGACTTGCTCCAGTATGTTGCATGTCTCTCTCATACTGACAGCCCCAGAACTGGACACAGCACTCCAGAGGTGTCTCACCTGTGCTGAATAGAGGGGAAGGATCACCTCCCACAGTCTGCTGGCAGTTTGTTTCCTAATGCAGCCCCGGATGCTGTTGACCGTCTTTGCCACAAGGGCAAATTGCTGGCTCGTATTCAGCTTGTTGTCTATCAGGGCCCCCAGGTCCCTTTCTGACAAGCTCCTTTTCAGCTGTTTGATCCTCAGCATGTATTGGTGCAGGGCTCCTCCCCAGGTGCAGGACTTTACATTTCCCTTTGTAAGAGTCTTGTCCATCCATTTCTCCAGCCTGTCAAGGTCTCTCTGAATGGCAGCACACCCATCTGCTGTATCAGCCACTCCTCCCAGTTTCCTACCACTTGCAAACTTGCAGAAGGTGCACTCTGCCCCATCAACCAAGTCAGTAATGAAGACATTAAATAATATTAGCCCCAGTATCAACTCCTGGGGTATTCCACTAGTGACCAGCCCACCTCCAGCTGGACTTTGTGCTGCGGATCACAACCCTTTTCTCCAATGAGTTTCATAGCATTGGCCTAGTAGAAGCAATACATCAGTACAGGGAGTTTGGTTCTGCATTTGTTTTCCAGAGCAAAGCTGACTAGAATTTTCACAGACACAGGATTTTTCACCCTCAGTTTCACTCTCAATTGCATATGCCTGTATGACCCTGGTAGCTTTTCACAGGAGGCAGGACATGATGTAATATGGTGACTTAGAGGATGTAAAGAGATGGATGACAACACCCTAATGACTGCATGGCAGAGAAAGGTTGGGTATGTGAGATGAAAGCCAGGATGAGGAATGACTCTTCTGCAGACAGCATGAAAAATATCATTACACTGATTTTTGTGTCCTTTTGCTAGCAAAAATTCGAGAGAAGAGGATTAGAACAAGATCATCAAGTTTTCAAAATCTTTGTCATTTTCTGAATGTTACATAGGTGAAAGATGTTCTATCTCTGTCTTAATAACAGTGGATAGACTAGCTTTTACATGAGGATGGGAATCATTCATTTCTCTCATTCTAACAGCAACTGGTTTCGGTAGCTTCTATAACACAGGAGCTAAAATAAAGGGATTGAGAGAGCAGCAGCCTGTTTTCCCTCTGCAGTTTCAGACAGGTCCTCATTCCCAAGACAGTAAGAAGCAAGGTCCTGAAAAGCAGAGAAAGCTTTATGCAATTCCCACAGCCCCGGCAGTGTCAAGACTTAGTGAGTGTCCCAGGCTGCGTCCAGCCAGGAACTGGGGTGTTCTTCACATACAAACACTAGCCCTGCTCCCAGCAGTGTCCTGGCCTCACATTCTTGTGCTCCACTAAGTGCATATCGGCCAGTGTATTTTGGATGAGGATTGCAGTTTACTGTTTGTCACCCTGCAGATCAGCCAGGTCCTAAAGCATTCACATTTCAGAGCTAAATTTAAGATTCATTGCCTCTTATGATCTGAGTTTCAGAAGCAATTCTGCAGCTATAACAATATTACTAAAACCGAAACAGCAGAGGTAGCTTTATAGGGAACATCAGATTGGGGAGGGGAAATACAGAATCCTGCACTGCTGCTGCACAGTAAGAGAGGAAGAAGAAAAGTAGAGATATGTGGAATACTAGGTGGTATTCTCTGTCTGCTCAGAAGAAAATAATCTAACTGCTTTCAAAAACCCAGCTCCAAGTCTTCTATTTTTAAGCTTTCTACTAATGTTCTTTGTGTCTTCTAGTTAAAACATAATTGTAAGCAAAATCCTAAAGAAAATTATTTCATAATCACTGGTGTTCTTGCAGTAATTCCTACATACAGCCAGAATTTTAATTCTAGTCTTATGCCAAAACCTGTGTTTTACAAATAAGATACAATTATCACAGTTAATAATCATGGTTTAATTAACTAACACAGCACATTTATCCAGGTGCCATTACTGCTTGAACATCAGTTCAAGCCAATAACAGAAAAGCAAAGTTATTTGCAAAACAGATTACATTTCTTCTTTGTTAACAAAAATGACACGTTTGACCTGGAGCTTTCCAAATAACTGTTTCAGAGCCAAGATTTCACTCATTCTCCATCCAGCCCTAAAAATATTACTGTTCTTGACACAGCCTTTATTCAGGCAAATGGCTCCACCAATGAAGTTTGAATATAAACATTTGTGTTTCTCTAATATTTTCATTACATAAAATGTGTGTTAAAAACAGGCAACAAAGCCAGTGGGGGAAAAAAAAAAAAAAAGGCAACCAGAGAGCTAGAACAATAAAATAAGCATAAATTAGAAAGAGAACTGAAACTACTCAGAGATTAACAGAAAGAAGAAACATCTCCCCCAAAAAAGGAAGGGCAATGAAAAAAAGGAAGAGATGCTTTAATCTCTAAGCAAAAACATTTAAAAATACAAGTTAGAAAGGGGATAATAGGAATGAAACAGCAGCCTAGGAAAAGAGTACTTGAGTGACTTTATACCATAGTTTATACACTCCCACCCTCCAGATATTCCCAGGGCCAAAGAGGTCCCTCACATGGCTTCTTGAGTAGCCTCAGCACAGCCTGGCATCCCTGTTATTCTGCATGCTGCTGCTCCTCTCCCAGCATACTCTTTCTATCTCATCACGCGACTCGCCCAAGGACCCCTGGAAAACAGGCTTACAACTATCACACACTGCTCACACAATGCCAGAAGAAATTTCGAGACAAATATGGGACTTCTAGAGAACTGCTGCTCTCATTCTTCATGTGGCTTAGAAGGTCTGAAGCCATAGTGAGGTTATTACTTGTTGGGGGAAAACAAAATCTATTCTGCAGGTCATTTAACAATATTTTCTGGGCATCAGTGGTTGTTTTTGCTGTTATTCACCATGATTTGAAGTTTCTTCTTTCCCAAGTTAACAGCAAAAGATTCCACAAAGCACCCTCCTCTATGCAGAGGGCCACCGTCGTCCACTGCTTGCAAAAGGAAGAGTCTAAGAGCCATCCTTTCTGCTGGAGTACATACTCCTTGGGCAATGCCTCCCTGAACAGCCTTATTCTTGCCTCTGCAGTTTTTAATAGCAGCCACTTGAGAGTCACTGCTGAGTGGAAAAGGCTCCCCGAATTAGTAGCGCTTACTGTATCACTAGGTCTTTGGTAGCTGACTTTGCCCTCTGAATGTGAATAATTACTGGTGCTTTTGCTGTATGTAGCTTCTGGATGTTTTGCAACCAGCCTTAAGGGTTCTGTCTCTCACACACCCCAGTGCTGGGTCCAGGCTCATGTGTTTCAATACATATACTAATACCAGTCATTATATGTATTATTTCAAAGCCATCCATGTACCAGTGCTGATATCCTTATCAAATACCCTAAACTGGGTACAGTATGTAGGACTAGGTGGAAAGCATTGATGTTTGGATGCTGTTTTTTTACTTCTTTGAATGAGCATGGGTTTGTGATGGCTACCTGGTCATGGGGTGAAGTTAAACTGCACTGCTTTTGCCCTACTTAAACCCATCATTAAGGGCTTATCTAGTGCATGAAGTGTTCTGGAGATACTTTACACAGGTGTAAACTTTGAATGCATGAACATATGCCTATGTTTAAAGAGGGAAACAACTGAGCCTCTCAATATGCATTTGGTTTACACACCAAAATTTCAATGAACTCAAGGCATTCTATCATGTGCCAGAAAACAAATGGGCCATTAATTGTATTTAGCCCTGCCTGATTCACACATATTCAATATGAACTAAAGAAAAGTATTAATTGTATTATTTTTTTTCATGGAAAGGAGAACTAAGTGATTTCCTGAACTTCTGAACATGAACAAACCTTGAATATTACCTATGAATTACACTACTTTGCCAAAGGCCACGCAGCTCTAGTAAACACTGCCTGCTCAGGTCATCACAACTTGAATTGTACTGTAATTAGCATGAGAAAAAAAAAAAAACCTACCCATTTTTTAAATCCTCTCTATAAAGATTCTGCTTTGCCCCAAATAGATACCTGGGGAATTTTAGAGAATTACTGCTCCTGATAAATAAAGAATGATGAAATAAGTATATGGCATATGGTACAGGGGAATATGGCAAGGAGAACTTCAGCCTCTTTTGCAAATGTATATAGTAGAAAAATACATAGATGCAAAGCTCTTTCCATGCCCACTGCAGACATTAGAGAGGTAACATTTGTTTTCAACAGGGTAAATTTCTGACTTATTAATTATGTACTATGTAAATCTACAGACACAGAAGGGCTTCAATGGCAACACTGGTGTTCTTCTGCTTTGCTGAGGCACAGAAGCTGCAGGGTTTCTGCTTGAACTTCTTCAATGTATTTCTGACTTGGGCACAGTCTGTGTCCCCAGTTACCTGCAGGACTGTTACTCCCCTAGCCAGTTATTGCCCATCTTACCTTTGGACTTTTGGTGGTTTGGGATTTCTTTGTTTGTTTTCCCTAAGTGTAGTAGTTTGCATTTGCTTTTGCTGAGTTTTGCTACCTGAATTTCTTACTGTTTCTCCAATATATCAAGGTCATTTTGCATTGTAAACCTGTTCTCTGGGAAATTACACCTTGCGTGCCTTTTTTTCATCAGGTGTGTGTCCACATTACAGTAATGGATCTATCTTATTTTTTTATGAAAATCTCTGACAAAGTTAATAATCCTTCCTTATTAAAACTACATAATTTCTCACTTCTACATCCACTCCACCAGTGTCCCAGATGTTCTTTTTGATGTTGCTTGATGAGCAGTGAGAAGGCAGACTTCATAGATTCAAAGATTCACTTCTGAGAAACACCAACTGTGGGCAGGATTTTAGGTATTTAGGATTTTTTAGGTTAGGTTAACTGACTTGAAACTCCTCAAGTCCTCTTTTCCTGTCTTTTTATTCTACAGCCCTCAAGAAACTCCATCCACTATTCTACCTATGAGTTCCTCAAGTGTGCTGAACGTTTAGTTTGGTTTGGGAATTTTTTTTAGGATCAGAATTGACTTCTAAATTGCAGATTGTCACAGGTGCATTGACTGCAGTAGTTACTCAGTTCATACCAGCTGATTATGTGGTCTATTATGCCTAATAAAAAATAGTTCATTTATCAGTTTATCCTCTGTTAAAATGGTCCAAATCTAGATTAACTTCAGATGTTTCTCTGGAACTACATAAAATTTTCATTGTGTTAAGAGACAATACTCTTCTCCTTTCCTCATGTCTGCAGCATTTCCCTGAACCTGCACCATGAAAATTTCTGTCAGAGGTTATGGAAAGGCAATACCCAAAGGGGCTGCCAGGAAAAATGCAAACATGAACACTCAGGTTTTCATTGGAGTTCACCAGGAAATGGAATGATAATGACAGGCTGAGATGGTCACCTTTTGAGCAGAGCGCTTTACAGCAGGATTCTTCCCGCATGTAAAGAACCAGGACATAAGCATGATACCAGTCTGCGGAGAAGCAGTTGGCTCAAAGAATGGTTAATACCTGACCACTAGGAAGCATTTTTGGTTAGTTTTAAAGGATGAAGCCAGGGAAATAGACAGAGAATCCAAATAACCTTCTGGAGGCTGCCATGACTAGTAAGATGAAACTCAAACTAGAACATCTCAGAGGAAAACATTAATAGCCTCCCATATATTCATCACAACAGATGCAGATAGAAGGAAATCACAGATGAAATGAGAATGCAACCAAGGAAAAATTAATGTGAAAAATTGCAGGGAAGACTGTCTAGCCAAAACAGAGATGGTTTTATCTCCAATAGAGAACACTTCATATGATTAAACAGAAGAATGAACTATTTGTATAAAAAGAACTTGTGAATAAAATGAAGATTTAAATTAAAAGAAACTAATGCAATTCACAACAAATTCCAAGGCAGAAAAAAAACAGGTCTACAATTAAGGTTTTGAATTCTCCTTTTAAAAAATCAGGAAATTAGTTAGTGAGTTGCGTGACTGAAGGAGCTTGAGCATTTCGATTTAGAGAAGATATAAAACTATATTAACTATAAAGCACAAACAATGTTACACTGCTGAGTGTGAGGTGGAGATTAAGGGTGATCTAACTCCACAGTTTCTTACAAGACTGCTGACACACGAGACACACAACAGCTGTGGCTCTTGTATTTCACTGTTGGTCTTAGTGGGATACTTTTGTGGCTTGTGACTTCCAGAGCACGTGTGGACCTATCTTCATGACTGACTGTGCCTAGAACAACCCAGACAGTGTCCCACATTCTTCCATTTCACCTTCCTAAGATTTTGATCAGTATTTAGCCTGGTTAATACAGCATCCTCCCACAAAGGTTTTGTTAAAAATAATATATTCCCATGGAACATTTCTGTTTCAGGCAGCCTGTGTTTTTTGATGAAAAAGTGTCTTGTGGAAATCTCTCCAAACAGACCAAGTCTCCTTCAGACAAACTACAGATTCTCTGTTTATCAAAAGTAAACCTTTGAACTTATCAAGTCTTATTGATCACTAAACACAAAGTAAATCACTTAACACTGGAGTTGTTTTCTTCAGCTGAATATTAGCCCTGCCAGGCTTTAGTAGTATTTTTACTCATATTTTGATCAAATTTTTCAAATGCAGGTTTGAGTACACACAACACAAGACAAACAAACAACAGTTCAAAGAAAGCAGCAAATTCATTTGTAAAAAAGTCATGCTTTTCACTTTCTGTGCACTCTCTCTCTTTTTCTTTTTCCTCCAGTCCAGCTACCATCTCAGGGTGCTAAGAAGTTTAAGTCACTGCCTTTAAATTCCCTAAGGACTGGTGCAGTTACTCTACCACCAGCCCCAACCTCCAGATCCCAGAAAAGGGGACATTCTCAGAGTCATTTGCTCTATTCTCTCTTGCCTGGTCTATCAGGAGAGCCTCTGAAACCAAGCTGTGTCCTACCTGCTATCCCAAGCCAGAAGAAATCTAACCCTGCAGAAGAGCTTGAGAAATCTCTCACCAAACCAGACACTGAAAATTAACTCATTACACTGGCCTCACTCAGTTGAAATATATCTAAGAGCTTGTTACAAGGTAACTGTACAGTAAAATCTCATTAATTTTGCACTAATGATGCTCTTGTGAACTGGAGGGTAAATGAACAAAAAACAAGAAAGGGTAGCACATCACAAAAGCTGCACTGTGCATTTATATAGGCATTTTCATTATAGTTTTCATTTATGATGAAGTAACTAAATCAGTATTTCACAGTGCTGTAAATCTATTTTGTGAATGGAATCCTCATACTGTGCAGTCTTGTTGCAGCAATGTGCTGTTAAGCCAGAAAACAGGAACAAAGAGTAAGATTTCCTGTGTGATTTAAAAGGCGGAATAAGGGAAACATAAATTGACAGGGATTCTCTGTAGTTTGTAAATGCAAAGGTGCTGATTCTGAGGCTGTGTGCCATCAAAAACACCTTTTTAAGATTAAAACAATAAGCTCAGAATAAAAGGCAGTTTTAGCAAATGAGGGGGTTTGGCTCTTTGTTTTTCACATATTTTCTCCATTGTAAGCTTGTGGGGTTTGTGAATTCAACAAGCTAAAAAAATACAATGAAACACTAATCTCTGTGGGACAGGGCTATAGCACACACTGTTCAAAACTGTTCATTGCACTGACAGATTTATGTCTTTCATTTAATTCTTCGTGTTCCTCAGTGACAAAAATGTAATTGTGTATTATAATTTTCATAAAACAAGGACTGCATGGTCCTGAGTTATTAGGCATTATTTCATCACTTTGATCACTGAACTGAAGAAGGAAATCTAACTAGAGTGCTGTTCAGTCAAGAGCCTTGGCAAGTGCTATAAGTCTTTGACTAAACATTTCACAAGACTGTCCTTTCCTAGAGGCCGACAAAGACACCAGCCTCTGCTTGCTTCAGGATTCTTATCTAAATCTTGCTGCTGTTATTCTAGAGGCTTTTCTGCTTCTGATTACAGAGGGGCTGTAGCCATTACTGTTGGCGGGGGGGAGGGGGGATAGTCCCCTTTTGTCACCCCTTCTGTAACACCATTGCTAATAAACCTGTCTTACAGTAGCTCTACATCAGCAGTTCATTCAACCAGGACGTGGCATTTCTGTTTATCTCTAAATGTTTTATTAGCTGTACAAACATTTCTTTTGCTGTGTCACAGTAAAAGACAAACCTGACGTGAAAGAGAAGGTAATCATGTCCCAGTAGCTGCAGTTTCCAATTTCCTTGTGGTAATGACTGTAAATAGAAGGACGGCTGGTGGCTGTCGCAGACAGGCAGTCCCAGAAAGAAAAAAGCAAGAGCACAACAACAGCTGCTCTGATGCAACACAGTGAAGAGGGAACTTTTGCACACAAATAAAAGGATATTTTATTTTTAAACATCTAATCCAAATGTCAGGGTATAAAGCTCAAATTCAACAAGCGATGTAAACCTCTAGCTTCTTGCTGAAATCTGTGAAAGTAAAAAGTTCATGTGCTTGGGCCTGTGTTGTGGTTTAACCCCAGCCAGCAACTAAGTACCACACAGCTGCTCACTCACTCCCCCCCACCCAGTGGGGTGGGGGAGAAAATTGGGAAAATAAGTAAAACTCATGGGTTGAGATAAGAATGGTTTAACAGAACAGAAAAGAAGAAACTAATAACGATAATGATAACACTAATAAAATGACAACAGCAATAATAAAAGGATTGGAATGTACAAATGATGTGCAGTTCAATTGCTCACCACCTGTCGATCGACACCCAGCTAGTCCCCAAGCGGCGATCCCCCACCCCCACTCCCCCCAGTTCCTATACTAGATGTGACGTCCCATGGTATGGAATATCCCGTTGGCCAGTTTGGTTCAGGTGCTCTGGCTGTGTCCTGTGCCAACTTCTTGTGCCCCTCCAGCTTTCCCACTGGCTGGCCACGAGAAGCTGAAAAATCCTTGACTTTAGTCTAAACACTACTTAGCAACGACTGAAAACATCAGTGTTATCAACAATCTTCTCATACTGAACTCAAAACATAGCGCCATACCAGCTACTAGGAAGACAGTTAACTCTCTCCCAGCTGAAACCAGGACAGCCTGATAGGCAACCTAGTCCCTGAGGCTAGACAGAAGAAACATGGCATGACAGAAGCATGCTCTGTTAAAGGAAAAATCAATTCTGTCATGTTCTGTCTTTGCACCTGACCAGTCCTGCCTCGTCCAGCCTCACTGAAAAGTCCGGAGTCCGTCCTACAATGTATCAGACTGGCTTTTGGTCCCTGGACTCACTGCCTGAGCTGCTCTGCTCTCCAGAGCCCCTAAGCTTGTCTGCCCTGGAACTCCACCAGTTGCAACCCCCAAATTCTTGTTCTGACTCCAGCCCTTTTGTACCTCTCTCTGTGGCCTCACACAAGAGGCAAGTGGTTCATAAGTCAGTTCCTAGAAATATTCAAGCTTCAGTGCAGACGTTAAGCCACTATCAAATGGTACAGAGCAGATGGTTTTGGTGCAGACTGCACAGAGGAGAAGGAAAAACTAGTTCATATGGCTCTGGCCAGCAGCAAATAACTTCTATGTTAACTGTGTCAGTGTAGACATGAGGAGAATGAGGTTTGTCTTCGCAGAGTGAGAGCCCAAAGTAACCACTCTGGCAGAGATTAATTATCTCTAGTTTAACACACTGCTTGGGAGTGGGTATAGTGTGTGGAAGGAAGAGAAGACCAAATGTCACAGCAAGGAAATCCCAGTGAGGTCAAATGTTTGTAACTCCATCGGCACTCTAGCCATTTTGAGTTGGTAAGAAAACCAAGCTTTTTGCTATCAACTGGGACTCCTCAAAAGAGGCAAATCATGTGCTGCAACTCCATGTTTTTCCTGAGTAGAAGGGAATCCCCATTGCTATTATTGGCTTTGAGAGACGGGGTGAATCTCTCTCATCTCTTGTGTTCCCCTGCCTGTCCAGGGACTGGGAGAGTCATGGGCTCCCTAATGGCAATCATATAAAAGCTGTGGTGACACCCATTTCTTTGCCAGCTGCAGTTCCATGCTGGACACAAAGATACAGGAGCAGTCTGTGTTGGCTTCCCATAGAGGCTTGAACAAATTTCAAATGTTTCCAGTATTACAGCAAGAGAGAAAGGGAGAGACATTCTCCCATGCCTTAGGCTAGACACTTCCATTCCCAGAAAGGAAGTAGTCAGCTTTCTGGTTTTCCTATTCAGCCGTGCTTTATTAACGCAGCATGGGCAGACAAAGCTGAATAATGAACAATTTTTGAACAAAGATAACACTGTCTTTCATATTAATTTCACTCAAAAATGCAGAATTTCAGGTGCAGTCACTTGAAGCTAGAAACACACATTACCACTGCCTCCTGTATACAATCAGTTTGTGTGACAGGAGACGTCTGCTAGCTGATTTTTTTCCTATCATTTCCCTCTTTTTTCCTTATCTTTTTCTAGGAAGGAATGTTTTTTTCCTTGGGTCTCCAACCCAGCAAACAGACTTTTTCAGGAAAGGAATGCAAATCTAATTGCCTGTTCAAAAGTAAGCATAGAATACAGTACTTACCTGAACAGAGACAGTCTTAAATACATGGTAATCTGAACTAAGATCCAGGTCACTTTTCTAATGTGTTTATTCTGTAGACTGTCAATAAAGAAGTAGTTCACAATCTACCAAATATATATCTTTTAAAAATTAGTGCTCATAGAAACCACTAAAAATTATTCTCAGAAATGTTCCCACAAGGAACTATTCTTATCTTTGGGGTTTGATAGCCAAATTCTATGGTAAATAAACAAGTCAAATTAAGTTGAAGTCTTTCACCTTCAGAGGAGAGCAGACTGTTGACTGCAGCTTACTGCATGAAAGATAACAAATGAACCAATACCTACTTCAGCTACACTAACCTCTTGCTCTGACCCTTCCTGGAAGATAATGGCAGGAGAGACAATAAAAGGCTAGCACAGTAGATTAGCAATTGCCAAGAAATGTCTGGTCAGTAGGTCATGACAGAGATTTTTTTTTACTCTGTCTAGTGATTAAATATCTCTGGCACATTATTCTGTGGCACTAGTTGAGTGTTAACTCAGAGTGTTGCAGTACTTAGGTGTCTGGGGAGTTTGGCTTGGCACAGAGAGCTAAGAAAATATACATAATACAGGATACGTTTTCGGACCAAAACACAATATACTTCCTCACTGGAACATGATCTACATTCTATATACAATTCTTATGAACAGAATTTGAAAATGCTTTTAAAAATGATGCAGCCTTTATTCCAGAGGACCATTTACTTACACATTGATACCAAATGGAGTGGTCCACTCTTCCAGTAAACTCTGCAGGAGGTTAACACTAGTCCATTATTTAAAACAAAGAAAAATGTTCATATGTAAAACAAAGGATCATCCAGTATTATGAGGATCTTTCAAGGGCTATTCTATTGATGAGCAGAGTGTCTGATGAGCAGGCTAATTTTCTTGTATAAATACCTAAAGAGGAAGCTATATCCTCTAAAATTCAGCCCTAATAAAGCATTTTAAACACCCCTGCCACTGCCATAGGTGGAGAACTCTGACTCTTCACCCGAAATACACTGCATTCTTTTACCATCAGCAAAGAGGAGTCTGCACAATCCATATATTTTTCCACTACAAAACACCAGAAGCATCACAGTTACCACTTCAGGACATAAAAGCATAGCAACATTTCAAACAATTCTAATAGGTCTATAAGAGCTCATCTGATCATACTATCATCACGAGCCATCAGACCTGTTACTCTGCATCTGCATTGTAATAATGATTTAGAAGAAGACAGAAGTATTGAAAGTATATATTATTTGTCTTTGTATTTTAAAAGTGGAATTTTTCTCTCATTATTTTCATAGGGTTTTCCTATGTTCCTTAGTTTCAGAGAAAGCAAAGATTTTTCTGCGCTGTCCCTATTAGTGGAAAAGCTCAACATTAGGAGAGAGACAGTTTAGACCAGAGGTTATCAGGTGTCCAGCATCAAAGCCACCTCTAACCAAGGGCAGTGGGTAGTACTTGATGTGAAGCACTTCACACAGAGGCAAGAAATAAACTCCAGGCCCATCAGGATCCTAAAGTCCAAATGTTCCCTCCTTGCCAGCCAACACTGTCGAAGGCCTGCCTTCTGCTGCTACTGCTGAGCCTTGTAAGGTCTGCAGACACCTACATGGTACAGCCCCCTGCAGTAACTTTCCATTCCCCACCTCACTGCAGTGCTCTAGGCTACTTGGCATCATGGTGTGACCTTCTGCTGCTCTGCAAACACCAGGAAGAACCTGCAGAGTCAAGGGGGTGTTCATACCTGTCCAAGAGGAATACTTGACTCCAAGGACATGTGCCTTCCTGCACCTTTGTGAATGTTTCTGTGCTCAGCATGTGGGATCCCATCCTTTGGAAGAAAGCTGTGGTGGAGTTCCTTGTATCACACAGGAGCAGACTGAAACTGTCTAAACACATCAATGCACTAAAGCTCGGTCCAGCCCTCCCAATGTGTCTCTGTAGCCATCATCACCACCACAAAAGACCCCACAGTCATAGCCTTCCCAATCAAGATTACATCAGGAAGATCAGATCCCATGCCCACACAGTGCCACAAACTTCAGCTATAATTTCAGCTTCTCAACTGAGCTGAAAGTAGCTTTGCACATCTACTGAAAACTATGAAGGGAGACCTTCCCACAGTGCATGAATAGTTGGCTGCACTTAAATGATGGAGAATAAATGGGACTGTTTCTTTCATACACAGAAGTTGAGGGTAAATATCATCCAATGAAGGAAAAAATATAAGGTCTAACCAGGAAGGCTATACAAAATATACAGCTGTAAAGACTACATTTTCAGTTTCTGAAATTTGCCAATCCTGTCCTGTTTCTGAAGTGACTATTTGTGGTAGACTCTTGGAAATAAGGCAGAGATGTATTAATAAGAACAGCTAAACCAAACTGTCAAAAGATAACTTAACCCAGAGGGAGGCTCTGCCTCCCATTCTGTCCAAATCCTAGCACCAGACAGATGTACTTTTTTTTCTGATCTGGAGGTCTGGAGCTTCTTAAAGGTTCATTCACCCTCCAGCTGTTGATCCAAAGAGACATCCTGTGTAGGGAATTTATCAGAAAGGGGTTGGATGCTTTTGAAAATTCTAATACTTGACATTCTAAAAATATTTTTGTGCTTTGGCCTCTCCTGTTACAGTGTCTAGTGTTTCTTCCACTGTTCACTATGTTGTGATCTTACAGAGATTTTCCTCCCATTGTTGATTTGGGCATTTTTTCAGAATGTCCTAGAAACTACAGACTAAAGCCACCTGAAGTTTGTCATTGTACCTGTGGTCTTCCTCTCAGCTAAACATTTTTAAAAGATTGAATTTCCTTTAAATAGATTTGCCATCTTATTTTCATTGTGGGTTCCAAGATATACCTTGAGAAAGCTGCTTCTGATTTGCCATTGCTTAAATTTCTTCATGAGACACAAAATCATGCACACTAACAGGGTTCATGATAGTTAATGTGCATGGAAATTTCCACTCAGAGACGTAGTGACTTGTCAGTGGCACAGGCCATGAGAAGCAATTTGTGCCCTTGCTGTCTTTCAACCTCCTTCTGTTCTGTTGGGTTTTTTTAATGCCTGATGAATTTACATCAGGATTTTATTGTTTTCACTTTTATATACATGCCTACTGTACACTTAATCAAATGCTGCATTTATAGGCACTTTAAAAGCAGAGCTCAAGCCTCTCCTACACTGCTCCTGATGCAGAGCTCATACTACCTAGTTTCAGAAATGCAAAAATCAGTGTGTCAGAACTCTCAGCTATATCATACCTTTCCTTGGAGCAGTCATTGAGAATTCAGACACCACCTTCTTAAGCGCGGTAATTATGAGGTCCTAAGTCTCTTGGTTCACAACAGCAAGAAATACTTTTCCGAATTCTTTTTCACAAAGAAAATTTTGACATCAATACCATCAGATATATCAGCATCAGTTTTCAATGTTATTTTTGCAAATGTAAGATCAGCGCATGTCATACAAGTGTCAAAAACAGACTGTAAAGCTGTGGCAGGAACCAGGGTAAGCTCTTTATCTAAATGGAAAAAAGCAAGCACCAGTTTTTGCACGCTTCTTGTGCTCTCTAATAAGGTGGTAAACAGGAAGATAGTCTGCTTTCACAGAGGTTTTATTCTCCTCTCAGCTTTTATGTGAGGATAGCACCTGGTTACTAAAATCCACAGAGATCTTGTAGCAAACTGGAGGATATTTTTACAAGTTCTAATGAAATTTAGCACTTAACAAAAAGTAATCACTCAATCACTGAAACCTTCCCAGTAGGCTAGTAAATAATATTATCCCAATGTCACACACGAAGAAACTAAGGCAGAAAGATTAGACACTAGATTTCCAATAGTGGCTTCTCAGAACAGGGGTTGGGAGCTATCTTCAGTGCTCAAGTGTTAAACCTCCAAAATGCAGCTTCTGTTTTCCCTCCTTACGGGAACTTGCTTATGAGTGTTCAGAATTTATGACAATCAGATGGAGAAACACAGGAAGAAAATTAAGGGCTGAAAAGTAAAGATTATAAATGGGTCTCCTCAGGGCACAGTGCAGAGAGTCAGAGTCTGACAGCAGATCCTGGCCACTGGCCTATGCTTATTCTTGGCCAAAAGCCACCTTGGCCAGCTCAGCTGCAAAGCTCCTGCTGGGGAGTGTGTGGTAGTCACAGTGCTATCACTGACAGTCTGAAAAGCAACATTACCCACAGCAATGGACAGTTCATGCAGGATGCTGGGCATCTTGGCCAGGAACCACAGTCTCAGAGCAGTAGTAAAGGACTGAGAAAGAGCCTTTATCTTCAGGAAAATTAAGTGACAACCTTACTTATGGCAGTCACTTTGTGTGATTACTGTCTGGGCTCAGAAAGGCACAGAGTTGCATTGGATAAATTACCTGCCAGCTGAGATTAGCTCTTCCTTCGTCTCCTTGATCCTCCTTGTCCTCTCATCGACTCAATCTCCTTAGAGGATGGAAGAGATTTTGGAGTCACAGTACCACTCTGCCATTCCAAACAAGAGAAAAGAGATTAAAGAAGGTAATACATAAAGAGCATGTTCCAGCTGCTCTCCTGACATGTTTTGTGAATTCTAACTGAATGCATCATATAATACCTACAGCAGATTCTCTGTAATACTCACTGAACAATGACTGTTACCACATAGGAGAGCTGCAGCCGTTCTCACAGAGAACGGCTTTGTTTCACATCCTCTAGCTGATCCAAATCGAAATGCTGCTGCCCTGTAGTACTGCCCATGGAGGGACACCAAAAATGGTACATGAGGTCAGCACAACCTTTCTTGGGTAGCATCGGTTGTTAAGCACCTTGGCACATCATTTTCACCCAAACAAGATGGGGGGTGACCAGCACTTGGGAATGCAGAGCTGTATTTACAGGTTAACCATAGGAAAGTGCTGAGGAGACAGAGGGTTGTCATGTTCTCCATTTGCAACAAATGGAAAACTCTTGCAGTAAAATTTAAATCACAAGTTTCTTTGTTCTTTTCTCAGACTTACCTTTAAGGTTTAAAAGGCCAGTGCTAACAGTGCTTACAGCTGCCTTCTGTGAGCTGAACCAAAATCATCAACTCAAACCATGGAGGCCACTGGAAAGCTGTAGGATGAGTTCAGTTCTCTACTGATACACTCTGTTTCAGCCAGCAGTCTACTCTGAAACGTTTCTTGTATTACTGTGCCACCCAGATACATGCAGCCATGGAAATAAAATCCACATTAGCATAACTCCCTTTTTTAATGTTCTAAACTCCATAATCCTAATTTACTAACCCAAATGTTGGGCTAAGTTCAGCAGCTGGGCCAGCTGAAACTAACAAGTACCAATTGTTTCAAGTGATGACTTAAATTATCCTAATTTAAAATGTGAATAAAGCCTGTAGACTTTCCTCTCTCCACTAACCTTCACTGTTTATGGTCTTCTTTGAACATGCCATTACATAAGTAGAAGCTTTACTTACCCTCTGGCCCATCTTCTCTACTCGGTCAGAACATCAAGCTAATTCTCACATTTATGTGCATTTCTGCAAGTTTACAATCTGCAAGAGCGTGACAAATTCTGCATTCCACACAACAGAGTTTGGGGGTGGGGGTGGGGTTGTTGGTTGCTATGCATAACCACATTGTATTATTTAACTATGTAACAGTATTACATTGACAGTCAAGTTGATTTTTCTATTCCAAACATTCTTCAAGAAAAATTCCTCAGCTCCCTGAAGCTGAGAGATGTCAGAGATCTGTGTCAAAATGTTCTCTAAATAAAGAGACCTTCAAAGAAATGCCGCCACAGGTGTGAACTACTTCCTTTCAAGCACATCTACAACAATCTCAATCCTAGAGTTAGTTTGAGAAACCAACTCTCAAGCTATTTTTAAATATATTTTCATAACAGAAATTGTATCTCAGCTCAAGAGAGAATTTTTAGGGAGAATACCCTAGTGACACTTCTGATTTGGCAGCCATCTGGATTTCTTCAAGAGTCTGAATTCTGCTGGGGAGTATTCCTTTCTTCTGTTCTCAGGAGATCCCAGAAAGTAGTCAGCACTGACCCTCCAGCTATTGAAATGTTATACACATGGTAGGATGAACAGTGTTAACTCCCTAGTGTTAACTCCTTAGTGTTAACTCCTTAATGCCATCAACACACAGTAATGTGATGCTTTATTGGAAACACACATTATATGAACTCTCAAACAGCCATGTCACAACATCAAATGGTTGTAATTAGTTCCAGTACATCAGGGTATGATGTACCACCTCAGTGTAATGATATGTATTTGTTCAGGCGTTTTTGTTTTGTTTTGGTTTTTTTTTTTTACTAAAACTGTCAGTCTGTCATTTTTAAACTGATTACCCAATCTTCCTGGGCAGGTCTCCCAGAGTATGTAGTCTTGTCTGTACAGTGAGTAAGAAAACATTGAATAAGAATACTTGGTGATGTGGGGTGGTTGGGTAGGTTTTTTGTTTTGTTTTTAATGGTAAAGGAGTGTCACCTGAATATTTAAATTCTAGGAAAACAAAACCAGTTCATTTCTGCTGTGTACCCTGAAAAAAATGTCGCTTTCTTTATAAAAACGGTATGTTAGCTTCACTTATTTCAGTGGTGTTCTCAATGGATTAGTATGATACACTATTTTTAAATCAGAACTTGCTTCCTGAGGCTCACACTTGCCACCCCAAACCCCTGCAAAGAGGAAATGGTAGTGCCTAGTTCAGCACAACAGAGCAGCATAGCAACAAAATGGAAGGAAAGATGACAATGATGTGTTGAGCTCGGAGTCCCATGTGCCCATACAGAGGCACTTTGGAAAGCTGTTGCCAAGGGGGAAGGAAGTAACTGAGGAACAACCATAAGATGCCACATTTCCAAGGTGAAGCTCACAATGTGATCTGAGCTAAATCAAGAGCTTCAAGGAGGTATTCACAGTAGTTGTGAAAGCAACTATTGCCACTGGATCCTAAGTGACCAGCAAATCAATCAAAATAAGATCTTCATGAGAGGTAGCAGCATGGTGTCTGACTTGATCTGATTATTTTTCAAGAATATCTGCAGGGCTATGCTTCCTACGTACAAAGAAACAAACACCAGAAAAGAGTTCCAGTTTCTGCATTCAAAAATGGGAACCTGCTTTCCAGGCAGAGGAGCTTGCTCCTTCTCTTCCCATTGTCATCCTAACAGTGACTTTCCCTTTTCTTGTGGATTCCTGGTGACCTTCTGCTGTGAACACATACTGATTTTCACACCACCCATTCATACTGGCCAGCACCAACATAGCTAGCTCAGGCACCACCTCAGGAATGTGTTCTATATACATGCAAACTGTTCAGCTTTGTACAGCTGTGCCATATAGTGCTAGAACTGTGCTAACAGTTTTGACTTTCTGGGAATACTTATCCAATTTAAATTAAGATCTTACCGGCAAGTATGCTTAATAGCCTCTAGCAAGAGTTTAAGAAAGTAACCAAGAAATACGTTTATGAGAGATTGGAATGTCATTGAGCAGCGGGGCACGTGACAGTAAGTTGTACTGGGATTTATAAAAGAGAAACCATTTAGGGTGTGATTTGTGTGGTTGGCTTAAACAGCAAAAAAAAATGCAAATTCCATTATGCAAAATACTCTTTCACTTTGCAGTAAGCATAACTGGAAATACAGCTTGTGGCAGAAGTCAGCATTGCCTCAGACTGCATCCGTCCTCTCCCAAGCTGCAGGCAAATCTTTTACTATTCATTCTTGTTCCATTAGACTCTAGTTGCGCTAAAGTGCATCTTTTATACATAAGACGTGACTACTTATTTAACTGCTTGTAATTGATTTACTTATATCAAAGTAGCACCTGGACATTCCAGTGAAGACTTAAATCTCATTGTGCTTCTTACTGTGTAAATACATTATAAGAAGTAGACCCTGTAATTGCAAAATTTAGAACTGAAATAAGCAGGCTACACATAGAGTAGCTAGAGTAACAGCAGTGGTGAAATGAAACAATTTGGTCAAGGTAAAACAGCAAAGATGTCTTGGTTGGTTTCTTGATTCAGCCATACTTATTGTTAGTACCTTTCCGAAATTGAAAATAGGGTGCCCGTTTGCAGTTAATGACTGAAAATGGTGGTATTCTCATGTCATTCTCCATTAATATCAGTCACTCTGGTTATCAACATGGCTCAACAGGAAATGAAGCTTACAGAGTAGCAGGGAGTGGTTTTTCCTTTTATCTCCTTAATTCAGATCCTCCAGGTGTAAAAGATAGATATGTTATTTGGAGAAAGCAAGGCTAAGCTTATCCATTTCTGACATCCATGAATCAGAAAGAATATTTGCTGATAGCATGTTGTAAAATTCGCTCGTTTCTCCATAGAACTATGGTAAGAAAATCATAAAAGTCATGAACTTCATTCCCTGTTGTGTTTTTCTTTATGTGAGCTCTGTGAAACAACGTTCAGCAATGAAATAAATGGTGCTTTACATGACACTGATGAAACCATTCAAGTGTGAAAAGTCTGCTTTCTCTTTCTTACACCTCTGGTGGTTGTTTTCCCTGTAGCACTACTCTCTTGGGGCCTTTTAATTCTCAAATAGAGTGAACCCTTCATATTGTCATTGCAATGCAACAGGGTCTTCCAAATAAGACTAATGTCCTTGCTATTTGATTTTCATAAGCTTATATTGTCATATTTTATCTGAATGTGGGATTCTATCAGTTTTACAGGCATTGCATATGCACTGCCTGTCCTTCCTAGTTATGCACTATGCATAGAACTTCCCCTTTCTCACTGTGAAATGACAGGATGGATTTATTAACACAGATACATACAACCCTTGTAGTGCTGATAAGCCCTTTTTAACAGTCACTGTGTTCCACCCTAGGGAGGGGCTGCATTTTAGCATTGGATAGAATATAATCATCACATATGCATAATTCCTTAGGCTTTCTCTAAGGATTAGATATTTTAAAATTAATGATAACAGTCTGTACTCCTCCAAACATGTCAGCAATGTATATAAACTAGGAAATCCACGTTCTTTCAACAGTTACATAGCTTCACTCTTTTGAAGGATCTTTTACACAGAGTGCCCTTTAATCCTCCTGCAGACCATCTCTCACCCCTTACCTCATTCCCATTACTATTTTTAGTAGCCACAGATTTAAACGTATTCTCTAAAATGGAAGATTGGATTTGGTGTAGGACAGATACAAAAAGGCCAGTTGAAAAATACAGCTGCTTGGATTCTTGCATATGTTAGTGTGAAATCACTGTAGAGTCACATTGGGCCAGTCAGAACCAAGTAAGTGATTTAGCTTCAAATGTTCCAGTCAGTTTTAAAATAACATTTATAGAGGTCTGGATGCTGTTGGACTGCAAAACATACCAGCAGATAAGGGCAGTAGGGCTTTCAGAACACTTTTTGTCTCATGTCACAGGAGCCTCCACATATATTTAGTATAAATACTTGATGTTTTCTTAGTATTATAAAGCATTTAAAGCATTCTTCTAAATAGTTGAGATTTTTAGAATTTTAAAACTCTTTTTTAGACTCACTTACACTCCTGAAGTGAAAAGAAAAAAGAAATACAACAGACCCATTTGCAGCAATGCTTACATGAGTGTATTAGAGAAGAGCATTACAAGAAGAGGAAATAGTATAATCAGCACCTACAAGCTTTGAATGATTTAATGTAGAAAGTGAAAATAGAAAGACAAACATCTTTTTGCCCAAATATTTCTCATACTCTTTAGGACAAACTCCAGTTTGTATCAGAACAATATTTCCAATGTAGTTCAAGTGTTTATATTAAATAAAAAAAAAAAAATATATATATTTTATGTTCCCTGGTGCTTTTAGAAAAAAAGTTTCTCCATCACAGACTTTGAGGCTTAAGGCCTCAAACTGCTAGAAAGTGCGGCAGCTACTCAAAAACTATTTGAGGTGAACTGTAGACAGAGGTACTTTTATACATGGACATTGACCCCTCCCTTTTCAAACCAGAAAAACAGGCAAGATGCCAGGAGCTACAGGCTATGAGCATGTTTGTGAAGGCAGAATTCACCTGCCAAATCATGAGTTCCCTGAGGACTGCACAACCTTCCACACCCTCTCTTCCAGAACACACTCTGAAACAGCTTCTGCCTCTGTTGCAGCCTAGAAAGATTAGAAACCATGACCTATTCCCATGGTCCCTCCTTCGACTTTCCCTACTAATGTTATTTAAGCCTATTCTGTGCCCTGCATAATAATTCTCTATGCACATACAGAGAAGCCTATCATGTAGCTACACTACCCACAGCCTCTCTTACCATACATTGAAAAAGTTCAGAAACCCCTATGACACTTTCTAAATTACACTGAATTCAGCCTATTCAGAACTGATACAAGACCTGATCTGGATGAATCAGCTGATGAAAAAATTGGGAAGGCAGACTTCCTGCTACCAATAATTATTTAACCACAAAGTTTAGATAAATGTTTCTATTTTAATTCTTATCTGTACTTCCTAGGCTTAGAACAGAACTGTTTCACTGCAAATGTAGTAATCTGGCTGCTGAGAAGACTCCTCAAAATAATCTTACCTATGTACAACTTGCAAGTGGGCCGCAAAACGTGTAGTTGAAAGCAGCAGTTTTTCTTCTTTTTGACATTACATTACAAAGGTAAAGTACAGCACCATCCTCATCACCTGTAACAGTAAACCACTTCAATGCAACATAACTTCAACATAGCTTCACTGGTTTCACAACACTGTTAAGTTCATGGAAAGTTTGTGCTTTCCAGCCTTGCAATAGTATTGATTCATATATTTAGAATATAAATCCTGTATATTGTAGCAAAGGGTGTGGAAGCCAGGTCACTGACACAAAGCACTACTGAAAATGTAGAGTTAGTCTTTATAATTTAAAGCTTCTACAAGCACCCATAGCATGCAAATTTGGCACTCTTCCAAACCAGGAGAAAAACAGCAGATAACAATGTTTTGTTTTGTTTTGCTTTTCTAATGATTCTTATTATCTTGGAATTGAGCACTATTTTGCTCTTCCTGTAAGCTGGAGCAGTTGTTTGTTTTCTAAATTGTAGTTGTCAGACATGGTTAGCATGGTTTTCATGAATGCAGCACTGTAAGACACAGTAGAGAAGACTTGGAGCACTTCTTCAGAGCAGACTGGCTCTCCAGACTACGATTCTGCTTTTATGGCATAGTCAAAGCAACACAAGATAAGATGATGAACAGTAGCATCTAAGAGATCTCTGGGATCATCAAGAAGTGCAACCATCAAAGAAACCCCTTATGAAACATATTATTCCAGTGGTATCTTGTTCTATTATAGCCCAAAAAAAGAAATCAGCATTCTTTGGAAATGTGCTGAATGTGAGGAAAATGGAACATTCCTCTCCATATGCTGGAAATACTCTAAAGTAAATAAGGATGCTAAGTACTGGGCAGAAATACTGGAAGTAATTTTTTAAAATAACAAAAAAGCAGACGCCAATGGAGGCCCCTAGTAGTCCTCCTAGGCTTAGCACTGGAAAGAAATTATGGTTTGGGAAACTAAATCTACAGATAGCTGCCAGATGGTTAATCATGGTTAGTGGAGAACACAAAGGGCTTTGCTTGGTGATCGGGCTTAGCAAAATAACAGATGTCCCAAAAAAAAGAAAATTTGATGGATTCTGAAAGGTCTGCAGTCAGTAAATTTATATAGTCTGGCACACAAATTCAAACCATTCGTTTAAATGCATGTCAGATCCCACTTAAAAGTTGATTGTTGCCTAGGAAATATAGGCTACAAGGAAAAGCCTTAACAAACTTGTATCTGAGGGGAACAGTGCAGGGTTTGACTCTACTACTAGTATACCACAACTAACATTAGACTAAGGTGATAAAATTATCAAATCTCATTCTTGTGTTATTAGTTGCTAGGCTAGGAGGCATTTCCCATACCAACATTAGACAACACAACGTTTGCTGTACCTGCTGTCATCACCTCAGGTCTTTACATACTCTTCAAAAGTAGACAAGTACTATCATCAGCAAAATTCAAAGAAGTGACCTAGGAAATATAACATATTAACAATAATTAGTGAAATACATTTGTTTTTCACAGGAGAGTGAGTTGTATGCCCATTTTACAAATGTAATCAAAAACTGCCAGAAACCCCAGAGGTTTTAGTGCAAGAAATAAAGACTGAAATGTTGAAATTTGGTGGGGTTTTAAAGCAATCTATTGCTCAAAGCAGCTTAGTGCAAGCAATTTATAATTCTTTGTGTAAGGTAAATAATAAAAGAAATTTTTTCTTTTTCTTGCAGAAGCTAAAATTTATACACTACCCAAAATATGGTTGACAGAGCCACAATGTGCTCTGTATCTCTTCAATAATCTTCTTACTTGCCTTTTCCTCCTTTTTACCTTGACAACATGGGGCCCTTTTCAGACAACTTACTTTGCTGTTACTATCCCTAGTTCTTTTTTTAGCACTAGGGTTTGACTCGAATAGGAAGTGGATTTGCTGTGTTTCCTTTCCTTTTAAGCCATGTGTATGTCAGTCAGTCAAGCAGTAAGCATCCTGTCCTTGTTTTCTTGTTTTTCCATTTCACTTCTCCATTATACTGGAGCTTCATTTCATAAAGGAATTGACACTAGTGCTGTCATCAATGTTTCAAAAATCAAGATATGTTTCAAAAATCTACAGTAACTGAAAAGATACGCACTGTAAAAAAAGTACTGTTAAAGGCTCAAAATGTGGAAGACCTCTGTTACCATGACTTTTCTTTACATTTTTGGTTAGATCTCACTTACTCACCTAGGTAGCCTATTCTTGGAAAACTGAAGATGAAAACTGACCTTGTAAAAGACAATGGAAAAAATTTGACTTCAGTGAGATCAGAATTTCCCTCTACTTCTTCTTTTATACATTAAGGTTTTCCAAGGAAACTTTGTTTTTCAGCCTCCATTTGTACATGGGCAACTTTCTCAAAACATTATTTGGTCATTACGTATTTTGTGCACACAACAGATTAAATTGCCCTGCAGAAAAAGAATTCTGTCTGCCAGAGTAATGTCATTTTTTTGTCTGCAAAAAAATTAGTTCTACAAAACTAGCACATATAGATCAACCTTATTTAACACAGATACTCTGCATTAACAGTAAAAAGTCTCATAAAGGATAAGATAGTTGCTGCTGAAGTAAGGGTTTATTTCACCAGATATAGGCTTTATATATCCTAGAACACTTTT